TTTTTTTTACATTTTATTTTATTGTTTCGTTGTATGACTTAGTTATAGTTAACCTTTTTTTTTTTTTTTTTTTACATCACGTTTCTTATTTGTATGTGGATTAATCCTTCAGTTGATGGCTATACTGGGAAAATGAAACTTTTGCAAGTTGAATTTGATATCTGTGTTGAAACCACTGTGATACTTGTGAAGTACTTAATGTTTTACAGTATTTGGCAGCATTTTTTTTCTTTTTGATTTTAGTTCTACTCGAAAATGTTAGCTAACCGTCTAATTACCAATGCTTCTCTTTCGAAGGACGCTGAAGAATCGATGATTAACAAACTGAAAGTAAGTTATTGGAGTATATTTTTTAGAAATTATAGAAATTATCAAATTTATCAAAACATGAAATAACATTTGTGATTATATGATGATGAATGTTTCTAGCAAGCATGCGGATTTGAATTTACGAGTAAACTCTCGCGGATGTTTACAGATGTTGGACTGAGTCATGAGCTTACGGACAAATTTGTTAGTGTAAGTTGTTTTATTTTTTTTTGAAATGCCAAATTAACATTTTGCAAATGCAGGTTGAAAAATATCGGGCAGGTTGTGTTATGCAGAATTATATTTCTGGTGAAGGGTGAAATCCGATCAAGCGATGTTTATGAGTATCCTGTTGTTATCAATGTTGCAGTTATCTTTCTTTTTTACAGTTAGTGAATGATGATAAATATGGTGTTATTAGTTCATTTTAAAACTACGGCTTCAAATATAACGTTGTAATGAACAATGAGCACAAAAGACTTATTTATGAAGCCTGGAAGAAATGTATTCTCTATTTTAGAGGTATTTTCGCTCTTCTAAGGCGACAAGACGTGGTTCTTTTATCTTATTGTTAAGATAAAAGTCAGTATATTACACAGAAACGTGCATTTAATTCAATTTTTCAGCATTGTGCCGTCAGCAATGTTACTCTGAATGTCCAGATGGCAGTATTGATTTTACAAGCGGGAGCATGGCCATTATCAGCACCCAATTCAACTCCAACTTCCGGTTGGTTTAATTTCAAAAATTACATAATTTTTATGTATTTTCAGGTGTTGATTTATTTCAGAAAGATGTTTTTTGTTTCAGTAAGAGTGATTCCAAAAATTGTTTTGAGCACATGAGCTTTCTTTATGCTAATATAAGAAAAGTGTATATATTTTCTCAAAGACTTTTTGTCCTCTACTTAATATGAGTGTGGGTTCATTTAACAATGTGATTGCGTTTTTTTAAGGAGTGGATGGAAAAGATAGTACAACTGCTGTTCAGGTTACGGGTTTTATCGTCCCTCCAGTTCTTCTGCCATCTATTGAACATTTTGAAAGATATTATCAGGCATCGCATAATGGTCGAAAATTGACATGGCTCTTCAATCTTGCAAGTGGTTAGCTCGTGCAGGTGTTTGAAACACCTTAATTTTTCCCAGCTTAAATTATTCCAAATTTTGAACAAAAAAAATATGAGTTGTCTGGCAAGAAAGACGAATTTTATGACTTTTTGGAGAGATTCGCGCCGAAATTGTTTTTATTTTTTGTAAGTTGTTATTTTTAATTATTATTTATTTGCAAGTGGTTAGCTCGTGCGGTGTATGAAGCAGCTTAATTTCTCCAGTTCAAATAATTGCAAATTTTGGACAAAATATGAGATTATTTGTAAGAAACAAAAATAGCCAAGTAGATGTATATTTTGTAGCAAAAGTTATTTGCTTAATGTTATGTGATACGTGGTTAAAACATAGTGAAATCATTAGTATTTTTTAATGCATACTATTTTCCATGTCATGCTTTTTGTTTTGACGGTATTTAGATTCCTTCCTGAATACATCTTTAAGCAGTTTCAAAGAAACGTATTTTAAAAGTCATTTCAATTCTACCAGTATTTTATTGACTAGTGAGAATTCTAAAATTTCTTAATTAGTAGCGCAGTAGTACATTTAATTAGTTCGACGAAAAAATCCAGTAAAGAAATTGTGGATAAAGGAAAGCCGTACAGATTTTTTATGTCATAAATTTTTGACCACAAGTCGTTTTAATTTTTAATATATATGTTTGATATGTGCATTGGATATTGAAACATAGATATTTGGATGTTTCGTATTGCATTGGGATAATATGGAGATAAGAATTTTTAATTTTCAGTTGAGGTAAAATTGCACTATTTGGACAAAATGTATCAGGTGACGATGTCCGTCCACCAGCTAGCAATTTTGTTGTGTTTTGAGACGAGGGATTCGGTGACTTTAAGTTATATCGAGAAAGCAACTGGTTTATCAGATGAATTACTTAGCCGAAATGCTCGTGCACTCGTTGATTCTGGTATTCTAATTATGGTGAAAAAGGTGTTTTTTTTTTTTTTTCTCACGAGAAGTTTGACAAATCTTCATAGAAACTTTTCAACTTTATATTTGTCTGATTTTAAAGGTAAAATTTAACTCAGCATTTGAGTTGAAGTTAAGGAGTGGAATTGACTTTAGTTGAAGAATTACTGTGGTCAAGGAAAATTTCTCGATCACAATATAGCCGAACTTGTAGTACACATGTTTGCCTGAAGGATATTTTTGAGTTTATCTTGAGTCTTCAATTGAAATGAAATGAAATAAAAATGCAAATTTCCGAGAGAAACAAGTTAATCGTTTTTTTTTTCTTTTGCATATTTTTATAGGAAATAAATGAGGCTAATGAAGTCGCACTCAACTTGATGTTGACATCGAAACGTCTTCGGTTTAAAGTTTTGGTGCCACAATTACAGCGACATGTAAGTGAAGCCCTTTAAGCTACAAATTATATATTCTGTTTAGTTTGGTTTTCACTTAGCAGAAAATTTTTGATGTGCGTTATTTGCACTTCCAGTTGATTTCACTCGCAAATTAAGCTGTGTACAGTGTATCAAATTTAATTTGAATGACTGAGTTTTGTTTTGTAATATTTTATAAAAAAAAAAAAAAAACACAATTCTCCAGTTCTCAATGAAGTGCACTTAAGGAGCATGAAATATTTTAGTATTAGAGGAAGAAACAAAATGATGGAATGGATGAGATTTTCTAATGTATTTTTCGTAGTGAAACGTGTTGGGTTAAAAAAAGTATCGTTAGAAGATGTTAAAAATGATTGGCTATGTTTAAGTTATTGATATTATTCCGATTGCTTTTCTAAGTTAGAACTATCGAAAACCTCAATGTTTTCGTAGAGCCTAGGGATCTTTAGAGCTTTGAAATCAAACGAAGCAACTGCCGTATAAAAAAACTAAGTGCAAAAAATTCAAATGAAATTATCTCTGAAAAAAATCTTTGGCGGTTGTCAGACTTTTTGTTGAATTAAAAGAATGTGAAGAATAAAATAGGTCTTGATTTTTTTTTTTAACTGCATTTCTGTGTCTCTGCTTAAAGGCCAAGATCAAAATTTCTTGCAGTAAGTTTTTTTCCTCTATAGTTTAAATAGCAAACTGAGGAAACACCTCAACAAGAAGCAAGGTTTGCTATCGCTAGAATAAGTATGGCATTTCATGAAGGAGTCACCACCTACGAACTGCTTGGATTATTTGGTCTTTTGTCTGGTATGAACAGTAAGACCTTTATTATTCATCACTGAAAAATTTCTTATATTTTAAGGCAGAAAAGGAGGCAGAGCATGTAAATATCACTGCTCAACAGGATCGGAAATATTATATGGAATGTACTATTGTTCGCATAATGAAGACGCGAAAGGTGTTGAAACATGCCGCCTTAGTTAATGAGGTAAGTCCATGTTTTTGCGTTCGTTCGTTTTATTGTATTACTGTAAAAGAAAGTTCAGGGCTTAGCATAGCAAAGTTAAGTAAATGAATGTAAAGCTGGAATCGGTAATTGCATTAAAATTTTTTTAGGGAAAAATAAATGTTAAAACCCATAGCTTAATAATGTAATCATTTCAAACTATTTCGCTGCTCATTAAATTTATTTAATCAATAGGTAATTGAACAAACCAAATCTCGTTTTACACCGGATGTTAACTTCATCAAGAAGAATATCGAGTCGCTCATAGAAAAATTGTATATTCAGAGGACTGATCAGAATGATGAATATCAGTACTTGGCATAAAAGTCGTTAATGAGCCTCATGTACAAATTATGAATTGATCTTGAAGTAAAGCGTTTTGTCAAGTGCCGACATGTCTACATTCGCATATTCACTGGCAATGCATGAAAAACTACTGAGAAATTTTCCACGCTGCTTACAGAGTAGAAGTTTTTCGTGCATATCAGGATGTGCAGACTTACAGTTATCATGATGTTGGTGATGTTATGAGGACGCTTATATGCATGTTTCGTTTTCATATGAAGTGGGTTCACATTCTAGATCTAGATTCATCATTGAAGATTTGATCGTTCTTTTTATTAGTTAAAAAAAAAGTTTTAAGCCTTTATTTCAATTCTCTAGAGAATTTATATGACTTTACATGTAATGAAATTAGGTAATACAATTCTAGTCATAAGTCAGGGTATTTGACGGTACAATAATAAGTTGAAGAAACTGCCTAAGACTAATAGCTCTTATAGTTCTTGTGAACAGCTCTAAAAAGGGATCATAGAGGAATCAACAACTTAAGGGGTCCTGTGATTATGAGTTCCGTCATTCAATTTCTGGAGATTGCACCAGTGAACCTATATCAGGTCGACAATTAACCATCTCTGTCTTTGCAATTCATGAATTACATTTCAAAGAAAAGAAACAAAGAGAGAGAGAGAATGCAAGATGAGATTAAGCCAATTGGGATACATATTTCATACACACTGGACATATTTTAAAAACGTTGACTTTATATATCTGCCAAAATTTCTGAGCATTTCACGGAACAGTATAATTAATAAGTACGAATAGCAAACTGGAGGGAGTGATTATGTGGAATCTGCTTCTAGCAGTAATATAAATTTAGTAAACCTTATGATGTAAAAAGCCCTTAAATAGTTGCTTAGAAACGATGAAAGGACACCTCTTACGATGGGCATGACCAAAGTGTTAAATTTCGAAGTGAGATATTCATTGCATTAAGCCACGAATGCATTTCATCTTTTCGATCCGCTGCCATTAGAATCCTGAAAAAAAAAAAAAGAATATGTGAGAAATATAAGTGAAGCAATTCGCCTACTTCCTCTTTTTGATCAACACTCGGTTTTCACCCGAAAATGCTTGCTAGATCGATAAACATAAATTTTCACAGCAATGATCACCTTCGTTACTTCTGAAAAAGTTGAATGCAGACTTTTTTTAATTGCAGGAATTTTATCTGCTCAAATGCCTGCTTAAAAATATCTTTCAGTCTTATTTATTCTGTTTAATCTTAATACTCAATACTCAAAATATATGCTTCATTGAGATTACAAAATCTAAATAATGGAATGAAGAAAGTTAACCTTATTCTGTCCGGCTTTTGCGCACAGTTGTTAGGTAACCAGACATCGATTTGCATTGAGTTCGGATATGGGCAACGTTCCACAGGAATGGGTTTAATTTTGTTGCATGCGCATGTTCTTAAGTCAATACTTACTACTGGTATCTATAATGAGCTCATTATCAGTGCCTTTATCATCTACTTTAAAAAGTTTTAATCCGAAATTACCAATAGCAATTAAAAAAGAAAAAACTAAAGATTCATTCTACAGTTTGTTAATGCGGATTCAGGAGAGTTCTTTTTTTGCAAAATGATCAGTGAACTGAGCGTTAAATTATAATACTTAAGATTAGAATCCTGACTTTCGTGCTTTCATCCTCGGGATATCGCCAAAATCGTAACTGCCCATCCCAAAGCACACACCAGAATCGAGCCCATGAAGCAATGTTTTCAACTGGCTGATATAAACTCTGCAGAAAAAAAAAATTCCATTAATTTTAAAAATTGATTTTGCACAAAATTTTGTAACAAATAAATTATAATACTGTAAATTATAAAAACTACATAAAAATATAAATTATCATAGGGATGAGAATTACTGGAATTTACAAAAACAGAAATTAAGAAAAATGAACTATAAAAAAAGTTGGAACAAGTCAAATACAATACGGACATGCGGAGAGAAGGGGAAATACCTAAGAAGAAGACAAAAAATATTTTTCAAGATTATTAAAAATCTTCGAGATGTTCAATCCTGATATCGCTTTGGCGTACATATATTATTTATAAATAAAAGGGAAGAAATGCAACCTTCAGTTTTCCGCAAACTACGTTTATTCAATATCATATCAGTCATAATTTGAAATTTTTGAACTCAAAAAATTAAGTTTAAGAAAAAAAAAAACTAAGTCAAAAAACTGCTCACCAAAAAACCTTTATAACCAACGGTGCCACAATCTTCCGCATAACAACGAACTTTCATTTCGACGACTCCATCAAGTGGATAAAGAGTGTCAGAGAGATGGAATCTATTTTTATTCACACTGCATATATTAAGTAATAAATGTCCAACACGTTGGAATGATGGGTCTATTACTGCTGATGGTCCACCGAGTGAGACTAGTCCTGGAACTGGAGGTATAGGTCACTTCATTAATAACAATAAAAGAAAAAAAAAAATTTAAAAAGTCAAATTTTATCAGTATATTGCACAAATATTCTCGACATATTAGACTAGAGACTAGACTTTTTTGGCTTTGCAAGCTACGATTAATCACCTGGTGAAAACATCGATTTCTGAGACTTCTTTAATGAATTGCCACTTTTAATGTGGTATTTCGTTTCATGACGAAGCAATTCTCGTCGCGTTCTCTAAAAAATTATAAAAATGGAATTTAAAATGTAAGAAATTTCGTAAGCCACATTTGCTGTATTGTGTTACAACTCTAATAGCACTTGATGTGAGAACTAACTCAGTTTAAAGTGAAGAATACACTAGCAAATGAGCTCAGAACTCGTATAACGTCGAGATTCCTTTTTTTTTTTATATAAAAAAGCTTTATGCTGATAATGAACATAAAATAATTAACCTAGAAGTAGACAAAGCAAATGTTACGTAGAAGAAAATACCCAATAAGGAGAGTTTTCGAAAAGCATAGCTTTTCTAAAACAACTCACGAGAGCAAAAATTTCCAATGTACAACTGAAATCATGAGGAAGTGATCGAAACTGGATATAATGCGGAAATTCAAGTCTTCCAGAACAAATGCCTTCATCGCTGGTAGTTAAAGTTGTATGATGGACTGTTTCTTCATATCGTATCAGCACGATGAAGTAAAATAACAGCTGATCTAAAAAACTTGCTGAAAACCGATGTTAAATTTTTCCAGAAACGAATTCATTAACTCATTTACCATTTTTAAGCAGCACTATTAATTTAGCTTTTTTTGAGAAAGTGAGCTAAATAAGTTAGTCAATGAGACTATTGTAGGATATTCGTTCTGGATAGAGAGAAACACTTCAATTCAAAGCCAACTTTCATACTTTAGCCATAATTTAATGTCATCTCCTTACCATCGTGGTAATTGATATGTCCATTGACAAAATCACGCATTAGCTTCACAGAAATATCCGAAAATGTTAAATTTCCTTTTGGTTCATCTGAAATAGAGTGTTGGACGCCTCCGGTTGCATGTTTTTGAATTAACCGATCAAGCACAAAAATTAAAGCACGTCTCCGTTCCGTTGCTATCAGAAGTGCTCGCTGTGCATCAACCTGGAAAAGAACATGGCTTAATGCTGAGTGCGAATTAGATGCATAACTTATTTTATAAGATGTACTTCAACTAAAATGGAGATATATCTTGGAGATCAAGCCAATAAGCTAAGAAGTACTTTATAACATTAAACGTTATATCTAATGATGCAAGACAAGTGTGATTTCGAGAGACGGATATGAATAAGATTAAATAATTGCTTTCGACCGAACAGAATCACATAATATCAGAATGCCATCCTCTCTCGTGCTTATAGTGAAAATAGTATAACAACAAGCGCTAGTTGATTGTAAAAAAAAAAATGAAAATCGAGCCAACTAGCTTTGCAAACATTCCTCTAAACTGATACACAACTCAGATTATGCCTTGCATTTCCACAATACTTAGCAAAGATATATCTTTTGAGTTTCACTCATAACCATTTCGAGAAAGCTTACTTAAATTTAATTAACCTTTTATGATGCTAATAATTAAAATATTCCAAAATTTTCATGAACCTCTTCACGACTTCCTCTAAATTCTTGTGTACTGTGGCAAAATGACAGCGCCCGTGACGCTTGGACAATCTGTTCTTGTTGCACACTGATTGCCTTTTCTAAACGTGCTCGCTCGATTTCGAAATTCGCTCGATCATTCATATTTGTTTTTGATATAGCACGACTGAGAACGGTAGTACTACTGAACGGCGATGGAGTAAATTGCCTAACAAAAAAAAAAAAAAAAAAAATTAAATACTTTTTTTTGATCTAAATCTTACCGACAACAAACTTATAATTCTCTAGGAGCACTCAGTTCTCACTTCAGTATGCTGGAACATCTAGAAAGGCAAAAACTAGCAGCTAACAAATACATTAAAGAAATAATGATCAAAAAACAAAATGTCCAAGCGATATGTGTCATATAATTCAATGTGTACACTATCTAGTGTATAATATCGAAACTCCTGAAACTCGATTCTATTCCTTAAATAATATCTTGCTTCAGAATATCTGCAACTTTTATTTCCTTCTACTTGCATTTGCACTATGTCTTTTCAAAATATTTGCAACAATAAAACTGATTTAATTAGCAGATTACTTTCCAACTGTACAATGTCGGCATCACTGTTACTATTATCTAAGTTCTTTCTTCCTTGCTAATTTCCAAGTAAACTCATCAAGCCTGGTTCTACAAAGAAGCAGAATAAACAAAAAACAAAATTACTTTTACTTGATACTTTATACTTATTCTTTGTTTTTTTTTTATTTTTGAGTAAAATAGCCAGAAACTATAATTTGAGTATCACGTAAAATATTCAGAAAGATGTGAAAAAGTTCTAAAATTACCCAAGCACTACTGTTTCACTCCCCGATCGGTTTTCTTTTTCTTTTCTTCGATAAAAAGAAACTGAATGTGCCAGAGGAACTAGTGCTGAAACGACTAACTTCGTTACCGTACAGAGGACTTACAAAATTAGCAGAATCAGATACTCATTCTCTTTTTTGTCTATATAATTTATTTGTCCTTAACATAAAGTACACAAAAATTCTTGAAATACTAAAAAATACCCTCAACATTCTCACGAACAGTCGATACCGCAGTTGGAGACGATAAAGTACAAATTTCAGGTGTACTGAGAATGGCTGACATGAGAGAAGAATTTCTATCTGGTGTCTGCAAAGAGTTTAGCTTACGCAAGAAAAAGATATTAGATTTAAAGCTTAACAATAGGAAGAAATCAGTAAGAATTGTCACCAGATTCTGGATGCTATCATGAAGTTAAAAATTCGACCTCTCGAATCAGATGTTTTTCCACTAAGCAAAAAGATCTGGGCCGATGTTTTTCTTTTATAATCTTTCATGATGTCTAGAAGATAAATTAGTTTTTTTTTTTTTTTTTTTCTGTTTTAAACAATTACTCGATGGATGAACTGAAAAGCGTCATCAATGAGCTGATTAGGCTCATCGTTACTTTTGTCGGAAATTTTCACTTTGCTTAATTCTTCCTGAACAGCATCTTGTTCGCTTTTAATTGCGAAATCTTGAAGTATACTTTCGGTGGGCTGCTGAAACAAAAACTAGAGCGTATATTCATGCATCAAGTAAAAGACTGACTTATTTTAGAAGTCCAGCAACTAGGGCTTATCACCATTTCCCATTAATACAAGTGGCAACGATGAGAAAGATGAATAAAACAGTTTCGAAAATTTCTTTTTTTAAGTGTTCAAAGCAACTTGCTGGCTGCTTCATTTGTTATTATTATTATTTTTTCCCTTTGGTAACCTAATTAAAATCACATAACCGAGATAAAACAATATAGTTAATTACTAACAATGGAAGAAATAGAGCAGGCTGTCGATATTGGTCGAAAATCAGAAGTTTGAACTGAACCTGAAATACAAAGTAAACTAGATACCCAATCTTCATGTTTTGTACTTCAACATATTTTCTCATCATTTGAATTAGATGTTTGATAAAAAGATTTAGAAGAAAAAAATTCACTTTTTGTTTCACAGTATGACTGTGGTCTCATCTTTCTTTGTTTAAATGATTTTGCCATCCGCATTGCAGCCTGTAAAAGCTCATCTTCCTTTTGATCTGGATGTAAAGGAGTACCAGTAGTAGAAGACACCTGAAAGAACTAAATTGCAACAACGAACAGATGATAATTACATTAAAAAAAATACATGTCTTTGAAACAATGCAAATTTGTAGCTAACAGCATGACATCAGCAAAACTCATTCAAACTGCTTGCTTCACAACTGCGTTTAGAAGGAAAAAAATTCTCATATGATTATGCTTGAAACGATATTACAGGTAGATGAGATCGTCAAAAAGTTAAAATAATAAAATGTACGGTTCTAGCACCTACCTCCCATCTATCAAGTAAACTTTTCACGTCTGCAGAACGAGTGTCAATTTCAGCATAATCAGATTCTGTTCTCTGAAAAATGATAAATATAAAATGGTATAATAGAAAAGCAAATAAAATAACAATCAATCAATCGAAAACGGGAACTGGCCGATTGAGAATGGTGATGTTCGAACTTCGAAAGCACGACACTGATTTTGGAACCAGCTTTTGTTTTCAACCTTTCCTCATGGATTTTTTCATCAAATCTATAAGAAAATTCATTTGTTAAAGAGTGAAGTAAACTTGGGTCATTACCGACATATTCACCTTATTACTGAAAAAAGAACTAAAGATTCGATCAAGTAATTTCAAATTCACTAAAAAAGAAGGAGTAATGCGAATTACTTTTTCTACACGATATAAAAGCAGTTATAAAACTCGATTTTTGTCAGCAACTGAGTTTTAAACAACCCTCTCCACTTTTTTTTGTTGAAGGAGTTTCTCTTGAAGTCTTACTGTTTCGCCATTTGTTTTGTGTGGGTTAGTTTATCACCATCAACTGAAACTGTCGCAGTGGCATTATTTACAGCTGCCGTGATTTCATCAATACCTGTAAATGCTAAGCGTACGAATATTTTTTGTATTTAAAATGAGCATGATAGATTCCTTCTAATATGTTTGCAGTGCATAGACCGATGATTTTTCATGAAATTTTTATTTTTTTTTTTCCTTCTATTTTCTGATTATTTCACTGCTAGATAGTAAAAAATTCCCAATGCTGTCATTTCTGAAATGCTTAAAAATGATGCTTAAAGAAAGATGCTTAAAAATAAACAACGAAATCACCTTTACTTAACTTCGACTCGCTGAGATTTCGTTTGTTACAATTGTTACCAACCTGCAAAAGTAATAACCCTTTTTCTTAAAACAAATTATGACAAATGTATTCGCATTAAAATCAAGAATAAAAGGTAAACTGGAAATTTGAACAGCTCTTCACTGAAGAAAAATATAGTTAAAAATAAAATCGAAAACTTACATCGCTTGGAGATTTCAGTGGTTCTTCTATTTTGCGCTACAATGCAAAAGTTAACATTAAAGTTTTTGTCTTTGATAGCTTTTTTTGAAATCTATTTGAATATTATTATTCTTAAATAATTTTCTAAAGCAAAGGAAAATCTAGACTTACTCTAAAAAATTTGTGAATTCCGTACTCTTCACTCTCGGAACAATTGTTAGCATTGAATTCTGACAGCTTTTTATTGTCGGTCACATCATTTTTCAACTGTGTTCCAGCGGGATATTTTTCAGTTAAAGAATCCTAAGAAAGTAACGAAATTGAAACGTTCAGGTTGATAAAATAGTAGGATCATATTCTTCCTCTTCATTCTTTTGTTTAATACTTGAAAAACTTTGAAATCCTTGAGGATGCTGCAGGGATAAATAGAAAAACATGAAAACATAGAGCTTGGAAATTTGACAGCATCTTCCGTAACTAAATTTGACTGCACCTTGCTCTAACTGCGAGTGAATTTACGTTCATGAATAATCTAATTTGTGGATTTCCAAACCTATCAGTTTTACCAGCCAGTGTATTCTCATTTAAAATGGCAATAAATCTGAGCAATCAAATAAAACTCAAGCAAAATGATGAACAATTTTCGAGTAAAGAATCAACCTCGGTGAATTCACGTGCAGGTATCACAAATCGCAAATGTTTTTCGCTCACATTACGCAGTAAGTTGTTCGATTTTGGTGATTCTGTTAGTCTGTAAACAACTGTTGTTGCAGTCATTTCCTCCTGATCATTCGTTTTGTCAAACGATTCATCGGCATATGCTATTTTTTCATCATTGAGATTGCACACTGGTTTTTCTTCATTAATCCGAGGCAAAGAACTGGTTGAAAGCTTGGTGACTGAAGCTGGTGGATAATAGCTGAGGGTAGGTGTAAATAGTACTGCTGGGGACATCTGAAAATTTTGAATTTCATAAAAAGATAAAAATTTATTCTCAAAACATATGACCATCATTGATGGTCATATTTTATATAATTCATATATATATATAAGTCCCCATATACCTATTCTTCGTCAATTTCGGATTTTTCCACAAGCAGATCTACAGCAGATCAAAAACACGTTTTTGAAATTTAGCCAAAGTACAAAAAAATTAAAATGTTAAAAAGTTAGATTACATCATCACTACTCAGACGTGGTGATGGTCCTTTCAGGAATGATTTTTTGGAGCGTATAGGTTTTATATCGCATTCGAAATTTTCGACATTAGCAGCAAGAGCAGCAAATCGAGCGCGCAGTTTTTCATTACATGATTTATCTGTGGTATCGTCATCGTGCAGTGAATCAGAACATTGCTGAAATTGTGATAAACTTAAGTAAAATTGAACCAACACTAGAAAGAAAGGTATGAATTGTCAGAGGGTTTTGTATATCATCTCAATTTAAGCTTGAACTTCTTTGGCCTTTTTACTTCCATGCCAAAACTCCATTACTTCTAAGATTCCCAAACTATATTATAACAAACATTTCGGGAATTATCGAGTGAAACTCTTTTCATTAGTTCTAATTCTTGAGTTGGATAAATTGGGTGAATGCTCGGCTCCTTATTCCTATTCAGAAGTGGACGCGATATTATCAATTCCGAGCTAGTCTGTGGCAACGTTGATTCTGAAAACTGTTCCTCAAGCACTGTAAAGTTTCATGGAAACTACTGAAATAAAAATGGAATCCAGCAAACTGCGAGTGCCGTGAGGCCAACTCGGTGTTGAAAGAATAACTACAAAGTAATATTTTTAAATTTGAACAAAATCTTATCGAACGGGATAAATCAAACCTAATTTGCAATTTAATAATGCGTTTTCCTTTTCAATGAGTAATTCTCGCTCTTTTGTACGTTGCAAAATTCTCTGAAATATGCATAAATAAAAAATTTTATATTTTCAAATGTTGGAAGTTCTAATAAATGAATATTTCTCAACACTATAAAAGAGGTCCATCCTCTTTTTATAATAGAACAACAAATTTAAGAATAAAATAGAATAATAAAATTTTCTGCTTTCGTAATATTTTAGGATATTCATGTGAGTCTATTTTAGCATATCCATGTGACACATAATTTTCATGTGAGTTTATTTATTTCAGCAAAAGATCTGGTTATAAACATTTAAACCAATTATTTTGTGGAAAATAAGTGGTAGGGATTGTACAGACCACTCAAATAATCCTACAGTATTATCAAGAAAAAGTTACCTCTAAATCTACGTCTTCTGCTTCCATACTTTATTGGTGATCGATGAATATTAATGATCGATTAGCTGCAGACTTTAATGAAGAGGGCTTTATGACAACAGAATCTGATAAAAAGAGTTGCTATCAGATGGAATTTTTGTCATTTAATAACAAACAATGATTTATTCACAAGCCGGTATAGTCTTAACTTCTATAAGATTATAAACGCGCGAATCTGATGACGTTCGGAAAATGAAAATTTGGAAATCTAATATTTCAACAAAATCGTGAAAAGCTAATGCTCCTATCCTAAATGCCGGATAAATAAATGTGTAGCAAATTCCTGTTATGGAATAACAGTAGAATTTTTGATAAAACATCAGCAAAACTTTCTTCAATGAAGTTTCTTCGATGAAGTTCTGTTACACTTTATTAAGGGCATGCATAATTTTATGCACAATGACATTATATCACGCTTTAGATAATCACAGCCCTATAACAATTGCAACCTTCTACATTCAGTTAAAATTTTTATCTGTTTTATATACCCTCGAAATAAGATACGAATATGGAATCATCTAGGAGTTAGAATGCAATCGAATGAAAAGACCTCTTAATCCGAACAATCAGAATCAAAGAGTAATGTTTGAAGAGAGCTCTCTTCGTTTGTTTAAACAAATTCATATCACTGATTTTCATCCATATGCCTCGTCTTTTGTCAATGATTATTTAAACTACTCAATAGTAATGTAAGATGATCATCCCATCTAAGCTACTACAAATCTTTGTAAAGACCAGTAAAAGTAACCAGGCAAAAAGTAAGCGGCAAAAAAAAGGAATATTTCTCGGATACAGGGATAAAAAAAGGCCATCCGAAAAAAAAAACAATAAGCTTGCGAGAAATTTCACTGATTCTGAGTTCGTATGTCAAGCAAGAAATTTCTAGTTTGTCACAAACAAGGAATTAAACAGATTACTACTTGACAAATTTAAAAGATTCAATTAGATTTAACAAATGTCAAAGGTACAGTTAATGAGAGCCGACCGACGCCCTCTCCTTAACACGCATTCTTCATTGATTGATGCAACCAACAGTTCCTCCATGTCCCGCTCGTTTCAAATTCGAAATATATCGCTCCCCCAGCCCGGTATGCAACTCCTATAGTTCACATCTGCTTGATTGGGCAGTGTAGTAGACAAGTTGGTACTACGAGTTTAAGACTAATAATGGATGCTGGTAATGAACGTGATTGGATTGACATAAATGTGTGTGGTCGATCGATGTAACCAATTCCATAATCCAACCTTGCTGCTTTTCTCCTTCACTCCTAGTTGTTTGGAGTGAGGAAGATGGGAAAGGGTAGCAGAGAAGTATCATGATGAGTTTGAATCGTCCATTCACACTAACAACTCATCTCCACTGTTCATCTTCACTTCCTCATAAAGATCTAGCAATTTTGAAATTTTATATTACAATTTTTTTTATTTTCGTTCAGTGCTAATAAGAGCAGAAATGACGGACCGCATGAAATCTAGCTTCGTTAGTATCAGCACCGAGTCTTATATTTTCTACTTTGTGGACGTACGACCTGACTCGTAGCGAGCGGTTGTCGTTGTTAGGATGGGTGGCTTTTGGATAGAAAGTTCCTTGGAAAGTATTAGATGAGGATGGGCATACTCCTTCGTGGGAGTTTTTTGTGGATAAAGTCATAGGGAATTCAATCTTACTGACGCTGTGATTGCGATTGGCCATCTGATGTCTGCTGTGACGTAGTGGAGTATATTGTTGAGCAGGACAGACAGGAAAATGTAGTAGTAGTTCTTTATCTGAAAATGCTGTGACTTCATTGATTTCTATAGAAATGCGTGGGAAGTAGCGTTAGGCTTCCTTTTGAACAGTAAATAATTCAGTGATGCAAAGTGGAAGCGGAAGTGGCCCTGGTTCTGATTTGTTCAGCAGTTATGAACAACATCCGCCACCTCCAGGTTCTCGTCTGGCTCAATATCTGCATGGAAACAGCACCCAACAAGTACCACGACCTTCTAGTTGGGTTAATCGTAAGAATTTCTCCAAATTTCGGATTGTACTTAACGAAATATCAAGAAGTGGCTTGACCAGATGTTCCTAATTAGACAAATTTTGACGTAGTGAAATAAGAATCAGTGATCATGGGCTGCAATTCTAAAGCAAAAATTCAGGTTGTAGAAGTGGATGAAGCAATTACGTAATATCGGAAGCTAAAGCATCTTCTTGTTTGCCAAATATTAGTGAAAAATTATTCCTTGTGACAGTGACTTGTAAGCTAGGTCATTATAAATTTTGTTTAGGGATGCCATCAAATCAAGCGACAGCTGGTCCGTATGCCTTCAACAACCATCCTACTTCGCAGTCCAGCAATGTTAATTGTGCTTCTAATTATTTCCTTTTTTACGTCTGTTATCTCTTGCATATAACACCACGAAATCTAATTTGGAGAATTTTTGCACAGATTCACGTAGTGCCGAATTTATTATTTTCTAAATTATAAATGCTGAAAAGATTCACTTTGTTTTGTTGACACTATTGCCCCCTTCCTCCCTCCCCCCTTCCATTCCAAAAAAAAAAAGGATAAATAAATAAAATGATAGAGATATTGACGGTTAAATGTCAAGAAATAATCAGAGATGTGATTTTCAATAAATCCTGTCAGCCAAAAACGTCATGACTTCCTCAAGTTTTTCAGAGGATGAATATACCAAATTTATGGAGAATTTATGATAATGATATCTGCTAAATTTATTTTCTATAAGTAATTTTGCAGCTGCCGCACTTTACATCATCTTTTGCTGCTATGGGTTTGAGTGATGAAAAGGAAAACCCATCATTATCGGTCATGCCTTATGGTTTTCCAACATCATCGCAGCGATCCCTTAACTACTGTAAGTATTGCTGATGTCAGGCGTTTTAGCTGTTACTGAAAGGTCTTCACTATATACACAAACTTAATTGTTCGGAAATAAATTACAGTTCTGAAGGGCATTTGTTTATAGCATGCAAGATTATAGTTCCAGGAAAAACACTGGCGTTATATTAGTTCATTCTCATTTTAATGTCCATATGATCATTATTTTACTAATTTTTTAATCCCTTTTTTTTGAGCTAATGTGACGCAAGCTTTGACCACTTCTCCTATTATTCACGACCCAATGCGACCAAGCAGTCACATAAGTCAAGAAAATTGTGGCTCAACTACTGCAAATTATATGGTTTGTTCTCTTCTAAAAAGTTTTGACGAAATTGTGACTGGAAGTTTTGTAAGAGAAGAATAAAAAGAGTACGGAAACTGTTCATTTCAGTAATTCTACTTTTTAAGCAAGAAAATTTCGGTGGGACAACATATTTCTTTACACCAACTACAACAAATTCCACTGTTACTGATGGACAGCCATCTATTCCACAGAAAGATGATCGTGTATATGTGGTAAATTTCTTTATTCAATTCTAGATTTATTTTTGGTCATGTAATTTGGTGTATTCCAAACATACTCATGTAACAAAGGTATGATTTGTAAAGCAATTTTATTGGCTTATAAACTGCAAGAGAGGGGGAAATGTACTGCTTAACCGTAGAAAACATAAGTAAATTGTGGTTGTCAAAGCACTTATTTTAATCCTTTATATTGTCAGTTTTGCCATTAAATTCAAATTTTTAAAAGGCTACTAGATTTTTAAAATTGCTTAGCATGACTAGGTTATTTTTGCTTTGATTCTGATGATTTTTTTAAGACAACAAATGGTAATTTTGTATATCATGGTCCATTGCCACATATTGGCAAATACAAACCACCACGAGGACTTTCATATTTCACGCCACCTGAACTAAAAATGGTACTTTATAACAGAACATTGCTTATATTTTCGATTTCGTCCACTTCTTTTTAAAGATAGCTTAGGTTAAGTGATGTAATATTTTTTATACCATTATTTTTGAATATTAATTTCAGGAGCTGTTACAACGACAGCTTGCTATACAGTGTCGCACAGAGCCGTCGCTTTATCCTGATATCCCGCAAAATGTTGAATATTTCCAGAATCTAGTTCCACTTGAAAATGTCAAATTTGTGGGCAGCCATATGGAACGTGGAATCATCGGGTCACACATCACAACAGTGTATAAAGCGATTAATGGACGTGATGGCATGCCCTACTGCTTAAGGCGAATTCACAGTAAGCATAATGATTTTATAGAAAATAATCGTGGAGGAGGAAAGAAACCTTTCTCATGAAGCATTACATTAATGTGCTTTCTAAGTTGTCAACATGTTAACTTTATTTAGTATATGAACATAACGATTCAGTAACACTGTGTAATCTAAACAAGCGCATATCGGTTGTTATTCTAAATTTATCAAAGATTATGATCTAAAGCGTTATTTGAGGAAATTTAATTAGTGGTTGGAACAATGGCATTTTTATTTATTTACAGATCATTTTAATGGTTATTCTTGTCAGTTATTTTTCTATCATTAAAGAGATAAGAGGACATTTTTCGTAAGTCATCCAATTGAAAATACTCAGCTTAAATTGTAATCATTTTTCAATATACAATCCGTTGACTATCATTGAGAATGATTTTATATTTGGAACCTCACTTTTCATGTTTTTCATGCATTCTTTAGATTTTCGAGTGAATGCAATGAAACAGCTTTCATTAGCTGATAACTGGAAGAAATTAATGCATGTAAATGTTGTGCAGCTGAGAGATGTTATACAGACTCGTCAGTTTGGTGATCATTGTAAGTTTTTTTTTTTTTTTTAAATATCGTCTTGATACGAAAGATAAGAAATAATTTAGTCCTGACTTCTACCTATTATTTAATTACAACTAACCTAAGAACTTTTTTCTTCCTAAGAATGTTCCTACACTGTCTATCACTACATTACTGAAAGTTATCCATAATCTTGGAAGGAACAACGAAAAATATTATTTCTGTAAAATTTGTTTATTATTATATAAATAATGGAAAGAACTCTGTATTAGAAAAAATTTAGATGTTACGTTTTAGCACTGCTATTTGCTTATGATTATCACCCGCTTTCGGAAACGCTAAAAAATCGGCATCTGAATAATCGACTCAATGGTATACATTATTTGTAAGATATTTGGGGCACTGGGGGAGTACACTGTAAACTATTTATAGTGAAATATAGTTTTATTATCATTATTATTATTTTTTTGAGGATTTGAGCGATTTCAGAAGACTTAAGATTCCTCAAACCTTTATGAAATTAATATTTAAGTTTTAGAAAAGTGGTAGCATACAGTGCTTATTCATTACTTTGACACACTTTATGTTTTTTAAGGGTCTGCAAAACTAGGACCAGTTGGAAATCTCCCTGGAACTGGTCCAATAGTGCAAGAATCTTTAATGTGGTCTTATATTGTGCAGCTATCATCAGCTCTTAGAGCTATACACTCCGCTGGTATGGCAGCACGAACTGTTGATCCATCAAAAATCATTGTTTTTGACAAAACCAAGCAAGTGTCTTCATAAGTTTTTGATTTCTATAATTTTAAAACTAAGGTTAACATTTAATACCACATATTTCTATATATTGTTGTACATCATAGCATGTAGAAATGGAAGTATCATCGTAAATTGAGAACAGCTTGTTTGATAATAAAAGTGAATTATTTAAAGGAATTTATCTTATGGGAACATATTCTGTTAGATCTTTATGGATTCATTCTTGTTATAGAATTTAATTAAAACTAGGAAAAACATAACGTTCTAGATAATTGTAAATTACTTGTAACTGGCAGGCAAAGCTGTTTTTGAATTTGTAATTGCCCACTAGTTAACTTCACTGCATTGTTTCCAGAGTAATGTTAAGCAGTTGCGGTATTCTGGATGTTATCAATCCTGGGAATGATCATACCATCCAGTTATACCAGGTAGACTAGTTTGTCGATTACTATTGTTACAGATAAAGTTACTAACAACTACTATAATTGTGGGAGGGACACTCATTATCGATTGATGATTGTTTTGATCAATTTTCTAGAGTGATGCAAGTAAACAGTGATTGAAGTGGGTTAAATGAGGGAATTGTTTTTTAGCAAGATGATTTGAATGGTCTTGGTCGTGTGCTAATTGCATTGGCAATGGGTTCGCTACATGCCGTACGTCGTGAAAATATTAGCAACAGTATTAGCATTATCAGTCAGCAATGTACTACCGACTTAAAGAACATAATCACGTATGCTGCTGTATTGGGCATTGACATTTCTTGTCTTGTTATTTCATTCTGTACAATTACAGCAATTTAAAATTAAAAAAAAAAAAACTTGTAGACATCTGAGATCTCCATTTTTCAATCGGTAGTATAGTCATAAGTAAACGTAGTGTGGTCATAAGCAGACTATCAGGTCTGAGTTATTTCGGTTGTATTTCTAGACTTTTGTTACAAGCTTCAACTCAGCGCCCACATTCTATCAACGAAGTAATGCCAATGATTGGTGCCCGTTTCTATGCACAGCTTGAAACAACTCAAATGAAGAATGATCTTTTGGAAAATGAGTTATCAAAAGAATTGGAAAATGGACGTCTGTTTCGATTGCTATGCAAATTAAATACTATTACTGAGCGAGCGGAGTAAATTTTTTTTGCTGTGTGAAGGATTTTCTCTAATTTTCTGAGGGAACACTTTATTACTGCTTAAATCTCAATTTGAAACTTTTTGTTCTGAACCACTTGTTCTGATTAAAAACAAACAATAGAAAAATTTTCATATATTTTTTATGGGTTGTTACTTGAAACGTTTCAAAACTGCTATATATTGCTAAATATTAAAAAATTGTCAAATTAAGTAGGAGTTCGCAACCCCTGTTTTCAAGAAATTGGATTCAGGTTTCAAATGGATGTATCATGGAGCGAAACGGGTGACCGGTATTTATTGAAACTATTCAGAGATTATTTGTTTCATCAAATAACAGAAACTGGGAAACCGTGGATTGATATGGCACATATCGTGACTTCCTTGAATAAGGTTGTTGTTCCCAGGTTAATTAGGCATTACAGTGGGAATACTTGTGGAGTTCAGAGATCTAACTAACGATTTACTATCCTTTTTATGGTATAGTGTCATTATCAGAAAATGCGTGGTTGTTTTTCTCTTGTTTTCAACTACTTCCAGATCTGTTTGTGATTTCAGTCAGCTGTATTGTTTGGGTTATTTGGGGGAAGCAGGTTTTTGATAAGATTTCAATTTTTGTAATCTACTGTCTATTAGCTCAGCATTATTTCTTTTTGATTTTCTAATCCTGTTTGAGGACTCACGCATTTTTGTCGTTCGTTCAATTTTTGATATTCTTTTAACTGTGTTTAATTATTCGAGTCAGTAAGCTTTTAAAAACCAATTGTTTACAGCTAGATGCTGGTGTCAACGAAAAAATTCAGTTGGTTTCACGTGATGGTGAGAATGTGCTTGTGGTATCATATACAGATTTACGGCGGTGTCTGGAAAATGCTTTCAGTGAATTACAGAATAGACCACCTTCAATACCAAATACACTATTGCCAGTAGTTGGTCATCTCTAACTTTTTTTTTTTTTTTTTTTTTGAAGAGCTTGTTATTTGTTATCATACAGGTAGGTTTAAAATTTGCTATAGATTCAACAGCAGTTTTGCATGAAAATTCTATTGACAATAGCTAATGTGCAGAGACCAAGATAATTTTTTCTCCGATGCGCTTTATTAGGAAATCATATGCTGAAAACAACTGTGTTCTAAGTACTTTCTTTTCTTTACAAGTCTTTTTCGCTTACCGTTTACATTTCCATTTGCTATATGTGTATTTGTAGTTGTTTAAATAATATATTTATTCGTGCTTTTTTGATACTAAGGCATAAGATTTGCAGTTGTTTTTTCAAAAATTGTGATTTGTGTTTTCGTATTTTAATATTTAATGCAACTTGCCACATTATTTATGGGTTTTGTGTACTTTAATATTTTGTTTTCAGATTTATTTGATTTTTCAAATTTTTTCATTTTTTACATGATGAAGCGTGATATATTTCATGTGTTAACAAATATTTGGTTTGGTTTATTTTGTCACTTTCCACTACTGTTTTTAAAATTGCAGTGTAGTCATTGTGCATCAATATTTTTTTTTGCATACAAGCTTCACTACCTTTTCAACTCTGTTACGCCTATCAACTTCTGCTCAGAAATCCCTTTTTCCGCATCTTAATTTGGCTGATTTGGTCTCAGCAATACAATGTGTCATTTTATCGATATTGCTTATTAAGTTTTTTGCAGAACATTGTGGCGCGTTATGCAATAAAGCGGAATATCTTGCAATATTTTTCTCTCTTCTTTTTAAAGTAATTATTATGCTACAGAATTTTCTGAGGGTAGTGGTAGGAAAATCAGCCGCATGCAAATTCGAACAGACGTTACGAATAAATTCATGTTTGTAATTCGATTCTGAATTGAGTAGCCTAATTGTCTTTCTGTTTATTTTTATATTGTCCTTTTACTTGTGTTCAGGCCTATTTTCTGTTCATCTTTTAGATATCTATATTTCCGCGTTTCAATCTTTTTAAATCTTTGATGCAGTTGTACCGTATTAAGGATACTGAATTAATGCAGTAGATAATTTTATAAGTTCAGTTGAAATGTTTGTTTCAATTGAACTTATAAAATGTTTGCCTTCCCTATCTCATATATTTTTGTTGTTTCTTCAGCATTAACATTAAACGAAATATTTCGAAGAATAAAAATAGCTAAAGATGAAATGGCTTATTCTTGCTATTCTTTTAAAGATATAAAAAGTAAGAAAATTGAGAATTTTGAGTGGAAGTTAGTTTGTCTCGGAATCTACTCTTTTTGCTCATATACCATCGAACTGATTATTACCCTGCTGATCAATTTTTTGTAGAAGGAGTTTTTATCTATTTATTTTTTGACTTTCCAATCTGTTGTTTTGGTTTAAATTTCTTCCATGTATGCAAATGGTAGTTTATATCGTTCTATTGCTTTGATTTTTTTATGTTTGAACATGAATTGTATTTGGGTATATATTAGCCATTCTCACACGAAGTTTTAGATTCGTTTCAGAATAAATAGTGCTTACTTTGTAGAGCTTGGGTTCTGAATTTCACTGCTATATAATTATTTCCTCATAGTCTTTTAATAGATAATATGGGATTTATTTTCATAAATTTGTTTGAGACATACCCAAATTCAAAAAGAGAAGTGTAGTTTCAAACTATATGGTTGTTCTAAGATACCTTGCGGCAACTTTTAAATGTTTTATAACATTTATTTGCATGCTTTGTACGCAAACGGATTATGGATATCGTGTGAGTTGAAGTTTCCAGAGATTTGGAATTACAAAACATGACGAAACATCCCAAAGAGTTCATATATAAATGTTAACACGTAAGGTGCGGTTTTCATGCGCACCGTTTGAACAGCAGGTCATTTTATTTAATTATGTAGGCATTTCTTATGAATGAAGGACCTTTACTAAGGGTTGCTGTTGGCAAGAAGCCAACTTTCAATATTTTTTGTAATTTTTTTGTTGAAATACGTACTAAGTAATTTCCGACTTTCGCAGGTAGAATACCCTGCAAAAGTCGGATGTGTAGATTGTCAAGATCGAGAGAGCAGAGAAAACATACGTTGCTGGACAATTGCTGGTAACCTATAGCACTCGTAGTGCTCATGTATGGATATTCTCAACATTGTAAGGGAAGTTTTCTTTCTTGTGAGGAATCCCAAGTATATTTTCCTTCCTTTCGTTCGGATATTTTTATCTAGTATTTTAAATATGTGTTGTTGCTAGTTCTGGAAAAGTACTACTTACGTGGACAAGTGTTACACGTTTGTGCTGCTATTTTTTTTTTTTTTTTTGGATTTCCTATTGTTATTAAGTCATTGTTTATTTTTCCGAAATTCCGATTTTTCACACGTTTCAAGAAATATGTGTATCTATTATTTTTGCTGGAAATGTTATTCTTTAGTGTTTTATGCTTTTTTTTTAGTTTGTTCGTTTTTTTCTAAATTTCTGAGTTGTGTGCAGTTTTTATTAGTGCTTGAAAATTAAAGTTTTCGAAGAGACTAGCTTCATTGCTCTAACTTTATGGTGGTAAACCACTGTTATCGTATTATCATTCAAACCTTTTGATTTATGACGCTTTTATTTTTCGTAATTTGTTGAGGAAAATGTGGTAAATATCGCAACCGGCTAAAAAAACCTATTGAAAATGACCGGACAACAAACTAGCAGTTAAAGGTGACTTGTTCGGACCATGTTTACTTGGTCGTTATCTGTGCAACTCTTATCTCAAATTGGGTTAAGCTGATTCATAATCGTTTAGTGTTGAATTAGTGCTCTGTTTGGCTGTGGTTCTGCTGTTTGACCTTTAGCAGCAGCTAGAAGAATACAAATAGTATGATTTATTTCGCCATGACTCATCACTTGTAATGTATTGTTAGGTCGGCTATTGTATACTTTTTCGGCCGCCATGTTATACACGTCATCTTAACAATAGTAAGCCAGCAAGAAAAAATGCATGGTAATTAAAAGCTTTTCAGAATAGTTGATGGTGAAATTGCTCAAAAATTGGGTTTTCACGCTGTTTGTATGGTCTATGACTTAACCATTTTTGTTTCGAACACGAAATGAATGAGTCTTTTTAAATACATGATTCAGTTCTTTCTGGACTGCTCAGCATCATTTAGTACTTTACTGCTTCATGAACTATTCTTGAAATGCCTGTAAAATCATGTAACTTTTTCCAATTTTCCTATTTGGAGGTCAGGTGGAATATGCGGCAGCATTTGTGGTTGTGTTTTATGTTGGCTGGATTGCTACTGACAGCATGTGCTGCGCATGATGAGGACGATAGCAATAATGATCTTGGTGGGAAGAATGTAATCGATGAGGAAGAAAAAAGTGCAAAACTTGTAAGTTTTCTTCATTATATCTTGAGTACTTATTTGTGTAATCTTTTTTTGTTAGATATGTTTAGATATTGATTAATTGTCCAGTGTACTTGAACTTTTTGTATTTCCTGTAAATCAAAGTGGGGAATGAAAGTCATAATAATTAATTATTCTTTAAATTCTTGCTATGTGTTTCCAATTTTTTTTTCTTCATTGTTTTCATTGATTTTATTCCCGATAACTGCAAATAAATATCTATATATGACATGTTTTAGGTGTTAAGAGATGCTTAATACTTCAGCTTTTATAATTTTCCGTCTTTCACAAAAGATATCGTATTGATGCTGAGGAGCAGGAAATGTTAGTTTTAGATTTGGAGAGGATTTATGTTATTTTAGGATTACATACCGCCTCCATTTCAAACACCGATGGTTTCTGGTTCACCTCTACTGGTAGATTGGTTCTCGAATCGTAATGCAATTGGTAGGAAATGGTTCATATCAAAGGGCAAAAAGGATAATGTGGAAGATTCAATAGCCAAATTCAATGGTATTGCCATTTCATTTTGTATGAGTGCTCAATTTTGTATTTAAAAAGCAAAAGTTAATATTATTTTTAGCTAGTAAGTATTGTAAAAATAACTCTTCAAATGCGCCAGTTTCGACATCACTGAGTTGAACTAACATATAAGTGATTTAATAAATGCAGAACTTAATCATAAATCTATATGTTGTGAGTCACTTATAACGAACTGCGTCAATTATTTATTTGGTTTTGGTAGTTAGGAAAGGGAAGGGCATCAATGTAAATAGTTTTTCAGGTCAGTGGGAAATAGGCACTCCTTCAACAGTCGTGATCGACAATGACTTCGGATTAATTGTAAAAAGTAGAGCACGACATCATGCAATTGCTTCAAAATTCAGTCGTCCATTCAAATTTGATGGCAAACCTTTAATTGTGCAGTTAGTTTTTTATAAGAAAAGTGTACTAGGAATGGGTGGTTGAAACTTTTTCTAACATCTTTATGCTATTATATATTTCCTAATTGCAAAATTATTGAAAAGGAATGTTACGGAATGGAAAATTAAAAGTATTTCGAATCGAGAAAAGTTTTACTTAGACAAGTAGAGGCGAAAGGAGCGAGCATTACATGTCTTTATGATTTTTAAAAGTTTAAAAGGAAAAATTATTTTTGTGAAAGCCCAAACATATGTAGTCATTAATGAGTTTGCATTATGTAAAAAACAGTTTTAACATTTTGTATGCAATAAAAGTGCAGTAGATGTCTCATTATACACTAGATCTTTTGTTTACTGACATTTAATTAGAAACCTGTATGTTTGTGAATCACTTATAATGAACAGTATTATTTTAAAATTTTGCCGTATTGCTCATTGAAGATTACTCAAGAATTTTCCTGCTACAGAAAATCTTTGGCTGGATTAAAGGTATATGGTCGTTTTCAGATATGAGGTAAAATATGAAGAAGGACAGGAATGTGGTGGTGGTTACCTGAAATTATTAACGGAGGGTATAGAAGCACTGGAAGAATTTACAGATAAAACACCATATACGATAATGTTTGGACCTGATAAATGTGGTGCCAAGTCCAGTATCCTGTTTATTGTTCGCTTCAGAAATCCCAA